ATAGTTTGTGAAAGTGTGTGTGTATGTGTGTGTGGACTTGCACTGGGAAAACATAGAAATTATGCTTTGTGATAGAACCATATATATAAATGTGCATATATATATATAAGTTTTAATTGAAAAAATTTATCAATGAGTAAGATCATGACCTTTGGTGATTCTGATAACTCAAGTGAATATTTTGTAATGTCATATGAACAATGACCATGAAATAATATCAAATAAAATTCTTTTCAGGACTTAAATATATAAGAGGTTAAGCTAATAGGACTGTTTAGAAAGGTTTGTTCAGTGGAAATACAAATGTGTCTGCTATTCAAATGCTAAATCTTGTGCTTGGTATTGCTCAGAAGAAATATGAGTGATAATTAGGAAGTAACAAGTCCTTCATTTGTGACTATTTAAAAGCATTTATAGAAAGTGAGTGTAGCCATGATACAGCACTGGGAGATATTATGTGATACTCTATAATTGAACTATATTTTCCATGTATTTGCATGGCCTTCAGAATCATTCTCTTCAAATTCTATCCTCTCATGGAATGTCATTTGTTAATATCATCAAACTAATTTATTGATTATACTTCAAACTATAAATTCCTAGATAAAGTCACAAATTCAAAGATTATATGCTCAAATGTCACCTCATAACAAAGAATGCCTTTACCATATGAAACAAAAATCTCAGAGATTGGCTACATTTAACAAATGTTAATTCGTGTAATTTATATCTCTTACCATTGAATATTCTTTGCTTCCTTAGAAGCTATAAACAAAGCATAAACAACAATCTTATAAACTTACAGAGATGGAAGACATTAGTAAACAAAATTTACAAAAATGGTTTCTAAATAAAACCTCCCCTCCTTTATTTATTTTTTTTAAGTTTCATTTTAAATTACAACCACAATTCTCCCTTCCACCCCTCCTCCTGCTCCCTTTTACCTGCCTTGCAGCACACTTCCCATCCACTCCTCTCAATGGGTAAGGGCTATGATGGGGAGTCAACAAAGTCTGGCATGTTAAGTTGGAGAAGGATTAAACCCCGCCCTGTGCATTAAAGTTGAGCATGGCATTCCACCAAGGGAATGGACTCCAACAAGCTAGTTCATACACCAGTGATAGATCCTGGTTCTACTGCCAGAGGTTCGTCAGATAGTCCTAGATTCACCACTGCCTCCCACATACAGAGGGTTTAGGTGGGTCCTGTGGAGACTCCACAGCTATTGATATAGTGTTCATGAGTTTGTACGAGCTTGGTTCATGTATATCTGTAGATTTCGCCATCATGATCTTGACCTCCCTTGCTTCCTCCTCCCTCTCTTCTACTGGACTCCTGGAGCTCAACCTGGTGTGTGGTTGTGAATCTCTACACTGGTTCCAGCAGTTATTGGAGGAAGGCTTTCTGATGATAGTAGTGGTATTCACCAATCTGATTACAGGGGAAGGCCAGTTCAGACACCCTCACACTGATTGCTAGGTGACGTAGCTGGGGTCATCCTTGTGGATTCTTGGAAATTTCCCTTGTACCAGGTTTTTTCCTAAAACCATAGTGGTTCTTTCTATCAAAGTATCTCATTGCTCTCCCACACCGTCCCTCTCACCTTCCCCTGACCATCCTATTCTCTCATGTTTTTAACCCCCTTCTGCTCCCCTTCACCACCCCCTCTTGGTCCCCAGTATACCCAGAATGATCCATGTGTCCCTCTTAGGGTCCTCCTTGCTACCTAGCTTCTCTGGAACTGGATTGTAGTCTGGTTATCCTTCGCTTTACGTCTAACATCTACTTATGATGAGTACTTTATGTGTTTGTCTTTCCAAGTCTGGGTTAACTCACTCAAGATGATTTTATTCTAGTTCCAACCATTTGCCTGAAAATTCCATGATGTCATTAAAACTTCCCCTTTTTAAGCTGATGCATAAACTATCAACATCTATTTTTATGAACAATTTTTCCAAAGGTTCAGATTCTGTATCTTTTATAATATATTTTGGAATAAACATGGAAAAATAGCCAAATCTCCTTAAGTAGATGCATAAGTAGATACATAAACTCTTATAGCCACAGAGAAGGAACACAATGATGAACTTTGAATTTTGCATCCAGTTGATAATGTGCACATCAAAGTCAGTGCAAGGCTGACATTTATACACTTGCTATTCTTGTGTAGATAAATGAAGTTATTCTCAATATCCCAATAAGAACATCACAGAAAGATTTAAAAGATCCTAAATCAAAACTTGTGAAACTGTAGGGAGAAAATATAGGCATGTTTAAAATATAAACTAAACAGAATTTCTTAAACAAAACACAAATCTCAAATCCATAACTGGAAATATTAAAACAGTTTATTTCTTCCTATTTTAAATTATATTATAAGAAAGCATAAATTTAAAAGTCAAATAGATCAAGAGAAATCATTTACATGTAAATAACAGAAAATTCATATGCAGAATATTTTAATACCCTATATATCTTTTGCGCAGGCACAGGAGTAAAGAATGAGCAAAGGACATAAATAATTGACTCCACACACATGACCAAGAACCCTGGAAAACCACAGTTACCTCAGAAATAATGAATGAAATGAAGTAAATAACGATGTACAGCTTTCCTCAGTCACCTACTGGGGCATGAAGAGAAGTCTCATATTCAAAATTTGTTAGAGAGAAGTAATAAATAACATTGAGTGGAAAATTAAACTAAAGCCTAAGCATGGTGACACATGCCTTTAATCCTAGTGCTTGGGAAGCAGGGAGAGGTAGATCTCTAAAAGTTTCACATCAGCCTGGGCTGTAAAGTGAGAGTCTTTCTCAAGAAACAAACAGCAAAACAAGACACTAAAAATAAATAAATGATAAAATTAAAAATACAAAATCAATCTGTTATGGAGCTGGAGAGGTGGGTGAGTGGTTAAGAGAACTGACTGCTCTCCCAGAGGACATGAGTTCAATTCCCATCGCTGATGCCTGGTGGCTTGCGTCTGCCTGCTTCCAGGAATTCAGTGTTACACACAAATAGCTGAAATTCATGTATGTGTAGATGAAAATTAAAATGAGCCTTTAAAAACTTAAAAACATATCATAACTCTTTAGCAAAACATTTTTATTATAGTACAGTAAAAGATCCTAAAGACAACTATACACATCTAATAGAGGGCTAATATCCAAAATATATAAAGAGCTCAAAAAACTGCATATCATGAAAGCAAATAATCCAGTTTAAAAATAGGATATTGATCTAAATAGAGAATTCACAATAGTAAAACTCAAATAACTGAGAAAAACACAATGAAATGCTTAACATCCTTAGCCATCAGGGAAATGAAAATCAACATTACTTTGAGATTTCGTGTTACACCAGTCAGAATGGCAAAGAACAACCAAACTAGAGACAGCTCATGCTGACAAGGATGTGGAGTAAGAGGAACACTCATCCATTGCTTATGGATGCAAACTCATATAGCCATTATGAGAATCACTGCGGCAGCTCCTCAGGAAGATAAGAATTGATATTCCTCAGAGTTCAGTTATATGGGCATAAACCCAAAGGATGCTTCATCCTACCACAGAAACACTTCCTCAACTATGTTCATTGCTGCTCTATTCATAATAGTTAGAAATTGGAATCAATGTTGATGCCTTTCAACAAAAGAATAAGGAAAATAAGGAACATTTACAGAATGGTGTATTATTCAGCTATTGAAAAAGAAAATCACATCATTAAATTTGCAGAATGGATGGAACTAGAAAAAAATAATCCTGAGTGAGTCATCCCAAATTCAGGAAGAAAAATATGGGATGTACTCACTTATAAGTGGATATTACCTCTTATAATATCTGGCTATGGGTCTCTGTTCTAATCTGTTGTAGGAGGAAACTTCTCTGATGATGGCTGAACAAGGCACGGATCTATTAATATAGCAGAATATCACTAGGAATCATTTTGTCACTACATATTTTTTTTCTGTTCTATAGCAGGATTCTTTTGTTTTACTCTAGGTCCATGGGCTTTCTGATCTCAAGTTCTTGGTTACCCAAACAGTGTTGAGTATAGGTTTCATCTTCTGGAGTGGGCCTTAAAAATCAGTTCTTGGTTGGTTACTTCCACAAGCTTTGTGTCACCATTATCCTAGCATATCTTACAGGTTGTACACTATTGTAGATAAAGACAGCCAGACGGAATTCTGTCTCCCTCAGTACTGGGCAATTTCATTTCATTTAGATTGCCTTCCTATATGCATATATTTTAGAAAGTTTCTACCATATTAGGTTCCCATATTACCACCCAAGCATCCCTTAATTTTAGCTATCTCTTGCTATGTTCTAATTTTCAATCTACTCTCTCCCCATCTATATTTGATTATTCTATTTCATACAACCCCTCCACCAATATCTATTTTAAAAAAAACAGCGCCCCACGAATCAATGTGATCAAAGCTCATATAAACTCAGACACTGAAGCACCATATACAGGGTCTGTACCAGTCTGCACCAGGAACTTTGCATATAAATATGGCTTCCAGTTTAGTGTTTTTATGGTATTCCTTAGTGTGCTTACAAGTAGATTTCTGATTCTTGTGATTTCTCTTGGACTTTTTTTTTAAAAAAAAACTTCTATACATTGATACATAGGATTACATGAAATGGGTGGATCACTGGAATGAGTGAAGGAATAAAAAGAAAAATGAAGAAAAAGAAAATGAAAGAAAATTTATTTTTTCATGTATTTGTTGTTATGAGCAAAAGGTAACACAATAAATGACAGTGTAAGAACAGTTACATATGAGGCAGAAAGTCTGTAAGAGCCACAGCAAGAGGATGACTATAAGAAAATAGTCTGATTCACCCTTGGGTAAAATCAAGCATAGTGTTTCAAAGTTAAGAAAAAAGATGTCAGATGTCTGTAATAAATGAAGTACCATATCCTTATTTTATGGTTGGAAAAAAGTAAGTAAAGTACTGTCTTACTTGGTACAGCAATCTGCATTCTTAACTTACCTGTGATGGTATTGATGCCTCTCTATGGTGACTTCTGCCTTCACAGATGTAAATCTGCCTGTGTTTTTAATGCAGGCTGTTTTTGGCATGAAAAAAAATGTAAGCACACTAGCAAAAAAGCAGACACTAGCAAAAAGAATTCGTTCAAATTTGGAAATTCAAAAGGATCTCTTTAAACAGTCACTGAATCACACCGCATAGACTGACACATCTCTACCGAAGTGTACAGGACAATTAGCTAACTGCATTCAAACTGGAACAAACTAATTAAGTTCTATTCAGTACCAAGAGTCTAAAGTTTAGTTTAAATTTGAACTGTCAATATTTATACAGCAGTGTAGTTCCTTTGTGTGCCAAGTGAGCTCATGAAAACGAAGAACAAAGTAACTTTGAACAAGATCCAAATTATCTTATATATATTTTCTAGTCTCTCTGTGTGTGAGCATATGTGTGTGTGCTCATTTATCACATGTGTCTATTGTTTGTGTGTGTGTGTGTGTGAGAGAGAGAGAGAGAGAGAGAGAGAGAGAAAGAAAGAAAGAAAGAAAGAAAGAAAGAAAGAAAGAAAGAAAGAAAGAAAGAAAGAAAGAATTATGCATGAACCAGTGTGTACATATATGTGGAGGTCAAGGGTCAGAGGAATCATTCCTCAGAAGCCATCCACACTGATTTTTAAGGCAGGGCTTCTCATTAGACATGGAGTAACCAGTTAAGCTAATGAGTAGCAGAGATCCACCAATGTCTTACTTTTCAGTGCTGTGATTATAATCACAAACCACCACACTTTCTGTCCTGGGGATTGAATTTAGGTCTTCATACAACAGAGCAACAGTTGACCAGGCTATCTTCAGGCTATCCTCAAAATGTAGACTTACATGTTTCCCCCACATTCTTCTTTGTACACTGTTATTACTGTGGTCATGAATATCTCCTGAGATGTTTAGTTAGATATCCATACAACAACCACAAGTCAAAGTTTGTTTTCATTACAAAATAACAGCAGTACAGTTTAAGCTTAGCCTTATACAAAGTTTGCTTCAGCAGTTTCAATCCTCTCTTTTATTGAATATATTTTCTAAGATAAATTACAGATCAATTAAGTTTCATTTTGCAATGATCTTTCCATTATAAATATTTCTGCATTCTATTTATATTTCCAGTTTTAATCATTGGTCAGATCAATTATTACATCTTAAGTTTCAAAATTGCGTTTTCTATGAATGACCACATTTCTGTACAAAAAGTCTTATTTTAATTTTAAATTTGGTATCTGAGATGAAAAATATAATTTTGTTTCATAATATATAGATTGGCTCTTGAGTCAAAATATAAATTCTCCTGAACACATGAGCATATATTCTCAACACCCACTTTTGTGCATAAAATTCTTTTACTCTTTTTAGAAACTTAAATATCATTCACACATATCTTTCTGATGTGATGTTCACTAAGAAATGCTGGTGTGTTGATTCAAACAAATCTGCCATCTAGTCTCAGTTACCTTGCCTCCTGTTGACCTACCGAGTATGAAGCAAGCCCTAAAAGTCTCAGTCCAGCTCCACATATATGAGAAGATTCAGTTACTAAATGTGTCTCAGATAGTTCCCTAGTTTAGTGCTTGTGGCAGACGGTAGAGTTATTAGAAAAACCCACATAAAGAAGAGAAAATAGGACTGGCCCTATTTATTTCCGACACACACTTTAATGTTCTAGATACCATTAGATAGATTAAAAGGGCAAATGATTAACTGTGTTCCACATAAATTGATTACTAGAAAATATTTTAAGTCCAAAAAATGTATTAAACAGAGTTAAGCCTTTCCCCTTATAATTATATATAAATACAGATGGCTATAAGGAGTTTTAACATACTGTTAAACACTAGGTTGTGCCATTAATCTCATGGCAATTAGTTAAGAAGCCTTTACCGAAGTAAAATTCATACTAAAAGAACTACCCCAATAAAATAATGAGATCAAGATGCTCAAATCCTCTCCTGGACTAAAGTCCTGTCAAAGCAGTGATATTTAAGGAGTGAATAGAAGCCTCTATCAATGTTTAACCTTTCTGTTTAACCTACAGATAATGCAGAGCAGACCTTCTGCACTTAAAAAAAATACACGAACACTAAATGCTATCTTTTATTGGAGTTGATATAATAAATAGAATAGTAAATGACTAGGAGAAATTTACAGAGAAATTTTTGGACTCTGGTTGTTTAAATGACTTGTCTCAGATTGTCTACTTAATATTAGAATAGTAACTTCATTCAAGATGCTATTGAGAATGATTGTTGATATGGATTTAGTTCAGATTGGGATGCTCTACCACAGGAGATGGTTAAGGAGTGGGGTCTCCATCAGTGTTCCTGTGCTGCCTCTTTTGCTAGCTATTGCCTGGATGTATTTGCAGCGCTTGGAACTGGAAGCATCTGCTCCATTCTGTTTACTGCAACATAATGTTAATGCAATTTACTGCTCTGAGCACATCACTCTTTTGCCATTTAATGTAAAGAAGTAGATTGCAAAGACTCACAAACAGATGTATTCAGGGATCATCGTTCTACCCTCAAACATATTTAACTTTTAATTAAAGATTTTTTTCTTATAAATGGCATTAATACATAAAAGCTTCTAGACCTGATTAGTAGATATTTTCTCAGCAGTTAGGGAGGAACTGTAATTACGGTAGGGCCTCATGGCTGCCATTTAGGAAATTACAAACACAGTTCACTAACTGGCGCTTTCACCAAATGATTGACTCCATTCAAGGTTTATTCACATCCTAGACAGAATCTAGATGCAGGATTTTAAAGGAAAAGTAAAGCAGATCACTTCCAACATTCAGGTTCACATCACAACCAACAAGGTTAATTTAGAGGACCATTAAGTTTCTATAATAAAAACAGCCTCATATTTATTGATACAGCAGCACTATGTTTTATATACCATATTTTTATACCTACCATATCAATTATTAAATAAGCATAACTGGGGATTTCTGAAGGTTGAAGTATTATTGTAAATTACTTAACAATTGTTTTATAACAAATTTAAATATGTATGTGTGCATCTCTATATTTACTTATTAGTAATGTAATGTTCATATGTAATCAGTGCATTTTATTACTAACATAGTCTGGGCAATTCACATGCACAAGATATTATTGGCAATGTCTGCAAAAATCCACTAATCCACTGGGAACGAATATTGATAATTGTTTAAGATCATGTGTATCTGCCACAAAAAGAGACTTGGGCCAGTGACATGGCTCAACATATCAAAGGCACTTGATTGGCACTTGATTGCCAAGCCTGGCAACCTGAGTTCAATCACAGGACCTATGTTAGAAGAATAAAACAAACAACCACAAGTTGTCCTCTGACCTCCGCCACCCTTAGGCCATGGGACTTGTAAGCAAACACACACACACAAATAAATAAATAAATAAATAAATAAATAAATAAATAAATAAATAAAACTTATAAAACAAGTGTTCACCTATTTGCTTCATGTTTAAAAACCTCCTCAGGTAATGGAGTGAATATGTCAAGCAAAGTTTTCTCTCCCTTCCTTATCAGGTACCCTGACTTGACTTGCTCTCCTCCCTTCTGATACTTTTATCTGCCCCCTACTCAACTGTGCCTCCCAGCTCTGAAAGTAATGTACTCTCCTATTTAGGGTACAGATTATGGCGTCATTGCTCCACCATTCTCATTGCTTCCATGACTACTTACATTTCATTTAAATCCTAATATTTCTAGCTTTGACTGATGAGATTTGTACAACTGGTGAAGGGTTAGTTCAAGGTAATTGTTTTGTCAAGGGTTTCAATGTTTTTAATGTCAACATTTTTTTGAGATATACATAAATAGAAACACATTCTTTGGGTTTATCAATATACTACAGAACCAACTACAAAATTAAATGGCACAATTTAAGGAAACAAATCAATTTAAAAGCATCAATGAGTATTACTTAAATGTCTCACAGAGAAGACAGGTAGTTATTTAAACATTTCATGACATAAAACCACTTGTCAAAGTCTTGGTTTTAGAATTAGTGACCTTTTGCAATATTCACCCAACTCTTTTGTTGTCTTAAGCAGACCGTGATCCTGCGGCAGCTGTTTCAAATCCTGTTCACTCTCATTTGCTGACTGATAAATTTAGTTTGTGTCACTTTCCAAGGACCTTGTTTCTAACTCACTGAAATTAAAAAAAAAAGCAGCCCTTTCATGCCATTTCCTTCTCCACTACTTTGCTTCTGCTAAAATAGATTTGAGGAATTTGTACCTGTTGAGCCAGAGGCTGCACTGAGACTTACAAAACATTTCTTAAGAAAAGTGCTGGAAATAATGTCCACCAAGCTGGGCTGGCATGGCTAGTTGCTCTATGAATCCCTCCATCATTTACTACTTCCATAATACACAAAAGACTCAGAAGCTACTCAAAATTTAAAACAAGATTTCTTTTTTCCTCTGTGTGCCACTGGAATTAATCATTCATATATGAAAGTAAACACTTCCCAAAATAAATCTGTGATACCCCATGCTCTAACACGCCTCCTCTTGATCATGTCTCTATCACTATTGCAGTTTTTGGTGCCTCCTTCTCACTTGTATGCATTTTTCTCTCTGTCTAGTTATGGCACCATTCCCTATATCCCTATACCCGTCTTTTATTCAGTTCTAATTAAAGCTATTGCTCAACCCACTGTGATGGCTAATATTCAGTTAACTTGACAGAAGTTAGAATCATCTGGGAGACAGACCTTGGCCCATGGCTTGGAGAGATAATCTTAATTGGGTTAATTGAGGTTGGAAATTTTTGAATTAAGGTGGACTGTACCATTTCCTGGGCTTGAGTTCCTGGACTGCACAGAAGTGCAAGAAAACAAGCTAAGCACAGGTGTGCACGAATTACTCCATTGTTCTCTGCTCTTGACTTTGGGCATAATGCGACTACCTGCTTCACATATTTGTCGCCTTGATTCCCAGCAAAGATGGACTATAATATGAATTATAGAACTAATCAATCCTTTCTTCCTCAAGGTGCTTTTATCAAAGTAGTTTAACACAGCAACAGGAAAAGAAACAAGATACTTGTTAAACTAGCAACTAGGAGACAATCCAAGCTCCTTCTCATTTCACCCCTTCTCGGGTTGTGACATGCCATAAGGGTGTTCTTCCATATTGTGGC